GCGAATTGGTAATAATTCTTATTATTCTTTTCTGTATTTGAAATATGATTTTTGCATGAGCCGAACTCCCCCAAAATATTATGCCGTAAGATATTATTGAATGAACTAGGGAGAAATAAACAGTTTTTAGGCACTCCAAGGATAAAAGAGGTTTTAATACTCTAATTATATAGGATGCCTTATTTAATTTGGGTATCATTTGGTCAATATGGGTTTGCCAAGACAATTTATGATCAATAACCAAACCTAGAAATTTTGTAACCTCCATATTGGTTATTTGTTTATTCCCCATAGTATATGTAAATCTAAAACTCTTGTGTTTTTAGTTATAAATTGTAGAAAGTAAGTTTTTGTAGGATTTAGTAGTAATAAATTACTACTAAACCATTTATTTAATTTTTCTAAAACTATATTTATATTTTTTTCAAATCTTGGGGTTATTCCCATGTTAATCACACTCCTTTTACAACGTGAGGTGTTACATGGTTGGACATACAAATTCTGCTTATGTACTGTGTTATAACCATGCACATCTGAATACGAGATGTTATATATCCTATTTTTCCTTAAAAAACACAATGTCTCAAAGATATACAATGAAGTTAAGGTTAAAATTTTAAATTCACCAAAAGATTCTCTACACGATACCCTGTTATTGACTCTTTTGGTCAGTCTTAAACATTTTTTTGGATTTTAAATACAGTTTGAATGTCCTTTTGACCACAGCACCAAAAAATAATATCATATCTCAATAAAGATTCAAATTTCGCAAAATACACACTTCTCAAAATTGGAAGACTGACCAAATCTCGTAAGGATTTGATAAGATAGATGGTTTTGTTTAATTTTTGAACTAAATGGTGAATGTGAGAGGACCAACTTAAATTCTCTGTAATATATATACCTAAAAATTTTAAATTAGCTGTGTATGTTATTTTCTTATTATTCAAATAAAGTTCCGGTTTATCAATTTGACGGGGACCACGTCCCTGAAAAAAGAGTGCTTTTGTCTTTTCAATAATAAGAATAAGATGATTTACCGCGAACCAATTTTCTAATTGATGCATAGAAACTATAGTTTTATCATTTAAAGATTTAAGATTTTTGTCAATAATTTAGTATATTGGTGTCATCTGCAAAT